TACGAGGAAGCACTCAACCAGCTGCCAGTTACAGTGGAAGACGTACGTTCTGCTATGGAAAAGGACCCCGTGCTGATGGAACTGTTCAATTGCCTCCAAACAGGACGGTGGCCAAACGCGCTTCCGGGAACGCCGTTGTTCAACTACAGGAGCCAACAAAAGGAGCTCTCTGCTTACAACGGATGCATTTTCTTCGGATCGAGGATCGTCATACCCGCTTCGCTGAGGAAGAAGATTCTTCGCATGCTGCACGACGGATACCCTGGGCAAACCCGGATGAAACTGCTTACTCGCAATTACGTCTACTGGCCTGGTATAGAAGAAGACGTCAAGAAGACTGTGGAAAGATGCCAGAATTGCCAACTTGCCGCCAAGAATCCAGTAAAAGCTGAACTAACTCCATGGCCGACCGCAAGTCGCCCGATGGAACGCCTGCATATTGACTTCGCGGGACCGCTCTATGGACATATGTACCTCGTTGTCGTGGACGCGTACTCCCGCTGGCCTGAAATCGTGGAAATGCAATCGACTACGTCACAAGCTACCACGCAGGAACTCATGAAGATCTTCAGCCAATTTGGATTCCCAGATACGCTTGTTTCGGACAACGGCACCCAATTCTCTTCACAGTTTTTCGAGGATTTCTGCAGGAAGTACAGGATCAAGCACGTTCGGACCCCGCCATTTCACCCGCAGTCGAATGGGCTTGCTGAACGCTTCGTCGGAATCTTCAAGAGAGGACTCCTGAAGCTGAAAGGAGAAGGCTACAACAAGTGGCGATCAGGATGAGATCAGAAAGAAACCTTCCGGAAGCCTTGTCGAAGCTACTACTCTGTTATCGCTGTACGCCTTGCCCGTCTTCGCCTGAAAATCGTTCGCCTGCCGAGATGTTTCTTGGACGCACGATTAATACTCCGCTTACACGTTTGGTCACTGACGCTCGAACTGTCACACCAACCTACTCCCCCGGATCGAAATGGGCGATGGAAGCAATGTACAACCGCCGACATGGAGCCAAGAAAAGGAAATTCGAAGTCTACGATGCCGTCTACGTTCGCGACTATCGTAATCCATCGAAGCCTACTTGGACTCCAGGACGTGTACAATCAAGGATTGGACGCTCACTCTACAACGTGGAAGTCGAAGGATTTTTATGGAAACGCCATGCCAACCAACTACGCCCTCGCACGGTCCCGGACGCCGCCACCACGCTGTTAAAAGAGTTCAACCTTCTAGATTTTGAGCTCCCTAAACCGTCGCCTGCCGTTTCCGCTGATGCTCTCGCTTCCCAAGACGCCAATCTCGATGATGAAACACCATATCCCGATATCTCAGCTGCCGATGCCGAATCCGTGGACGCCGATGTCTCCGCCACTCAATCGTCTCCACCGCCACTTCGCCGCCGGCCGCAAAGGACACATCGACCACCATGCCGCATCGTGATCGACCCGTCAAAGAAGCGATACAATTGATAACTTAAGGGGAGAGATGTTGGAGAGTAGCATTATATTTGTTATTGTTTGTTTGTTGTTGTTTAGTGATCTGATCTATTGGTGTTGTATTGACCTATGCGCGGGATCTGAGCGCTATATAAGGCGCTCCCTGCTAGCTAAGTCATTCGTTCGTCTCGTCTTATCGTCTTGTTCTTATTCATATCCGGTCTACTAATAAACCTATTATTCTACAAGTGTCCCGGACCCACCACAAGTACAAGTACAAGTAGAAGGCTACAACATTTATAGTCTATTATTATCGGTCAGCAAAAATTATCGGTTTATAATAAGAGTATCACTTCGTCCAGATTAGCTCAGAAACTTGAAATATGTGAGAATTCGAAACATTTTTGATTAATTTTACCTTCCTTAGGTCATCTGTTTTTTTCTCAATTTTTTATCTGATGTCGCTTGATCACATATTGGTCAAATAATTGCTAATGCTTCTAGACCCGTAGTAAGTGTCACGTTCGAGCTCTAGGATATACCACAGGTGATTTTTGTTTAAAATTCTTTTCTTATTCCATTTTACCTAACTTTACCTTTCTTGCTACTTCACAACATGGAGTAACAAGAAAGGTAAAGTTAGGTAAAATTTCGAAAAAGGGAGGAAATATTAACCTTCTTTTCTATTTACCATCCTCTATTTACCCAAGCCATCCTCTCGTTCATGAGGTTTTTTTATTGAAAACTTATCATTATCAAAATCAAAACCAGCTATCTATCAATGCGAAATGGAAATTCTTTCTGTCTGTTTGTGACACACATGAGAAAGTATTTGATGCCCTGACATAATAATTTTTTGCACCCCGCTCTTTCGAGGGGATTCCAAAAATTATTCAATACTCATAAAATGCACCTTTGCACGGAAATCTTTAGTAAAAGGCGAAAGATTTTCTCGGTTAAATGCAAAGGAGCCAGAGATACCATCAGATCGTTCATTGTGGGTGGTCCGCACTGCAACGTCGTACCTGCCGCTGTTTGCATCTGGCTGTGTAGCGTGTAGAAATGCTGTGTAAACAATTTAACGAAAAACAAGCTGGCAAGTGCTAGGTAAAGATTTTTTTCGAGCATAGCTTATTATTAAAATTACCACTATCATTAATAATTATTATCGTCATCAAGATTAATATTATTATTGTTAATATTTGTGTATTAGTATCATCACTATTATAATAATGATTATTGTTATTATTATTATTATTATTATTATTATTATTATTATTATTATTATTATTATTATTATTATTATTGTTATTATTATTATTATTACTATTATTATTATTATTATTATTATTATCATTATTGTCATTATTATTATTATTATTATTATTATTATTATTATTATTATTATTATTATTATTATTATTATTATTATTATTATTATTATTATTATTATTATTATTATTATTATTATTATTATTATTATTATTATTATTATTATTATTATTATTATTATTATTATTATTATTATTATTATTATTATTATTATTATTATTATTATTATTATTATTATTATTATTATTATTATTATTATTATTATTATTATTATTATTATTATTATTATTATTATTATTATTATTATTATTATTATTATTATTATTATTATTATTATTATTATTATTATTATTATTATTATTATTATTATTATTATTATTATTATTATTATTATTATTATTATTATTATTATTATTATTATTATTATTATTATTATTATTATTATTATTATTATTATTATTATTATTATTATTATTATTATTATTATTATTATTATTATTGTTATTATTATTATCGCTATGTTATTGATAGTATCATTATTATTGATGAAAAACAACAAAATAACATCTTTTCAAGCTGCCTTCAGCATAATAATCGCTTTGCCGATCTGCATCTAAAATTTGTGGTCATTGTTCCCGTATTATACGCATCGTTGTATTGAGACTGAAGCACAAACCCGACTTTTTGGAATACCAGCAGTATTGTTTATTTCCAGTCAATCAAATATCTATGTATGGATATATCAGACTACCTTTAGAAATTCAAAAGTTTTTTGCTCTCCATTTATTCGCCATCGAATACTGGATTTTGCTAGATTAGGTCTCTATCACTTCACAGTTGTTTTCGTTTTGGTTGTTACTCCAATTGCTCAAGTTACCTTCCTATGATAATGGTCATAATGGTCCTTATCCATTTGCTGGAACACTCACATTTTTAATTGATGCCATGTTCACCTGTGCCAAAGGATATGCCAAAGGCACAAGTTTCCTTGATTGTTTTCCAGGAGCTGGCAGTATACTCACGAAGCTATAGGCTGCTGCATGACGAAGGCGCAATATCTTCGGGCGCGAACGCGGCTTTATTAGCCGCAGAGCGCATGAGGTGCGAGATCCACAACGGTGAGGGTACGCGCGCGTCGCGTTCGCGCACGCTCTACTAATATCGCCATTGCGCCTTCGTCATGCAACAGCCTTTAGACAAAATTGCAAAGTAGGGTCCGGAACGTGGAGATATGTGAAGTTTAGTAATATAATGCTGTTGGCTACTCTCATGCCATGCTCTTTATCTCTCTTTCTTATTCTTCATCAAAATGTAAATAACAATATTCAATTCCACCGAACAACTATGCTATGTTACCAGAATGTTTCGGAAGATCCGGGTTCACAGACGTTTATTCAGTGCATATTTGCGTCAAGAAATGTTTCGGAAACGATTAATTGAAAAATCCACACTTCTGAACTGTGATTCGAGGTCTTTCGTATGCTTAAGTACTACCTGTTTCTAGTACACATCAAGCAACCAGTGAAAACTCTAGCATATTTTTGACATCCATGTACTCACCATATTTGTATTGCTACCAATTTTTATCCCGCACTTTCGAGGGGATTCCAAAAATTATTCAATACTCATAAAATGCACCTTTGCACGGAAATCTTTAGTAAAAGGCGAAAGATTTTCTCGGTTAAATGCAAAGGTGCCAGAGATGGTCTATATGGATTTGGCCTCGGCGCCCCTCTTCGTGCATCGTACCTGTGGCTATTTGCGCTAGGTCGTTAGTCACAGGAAGTTTTTTTTATAAAGTTATAGCAATAAAATTAGTAGAGTATTACACCCCCCCCCCCCTCTCCCTCTCCTCCAAAGAGAGATCCCCTAGACTTCCACCGCCATTGGTACATTTTCATGTCAGTTTTGCTTTAGGTCACATAAATGGAATTGGTCTTAAGATAGCCAACATTTTGTTCCTAAATTGTTTGTGACCTGGGTAAAATTTATCTTTATATTATTCGTCATTAATTATTTTTATTAATTTGTTTGAATTTATTCACTTATTTGAACCACATCTATTTGTTTTTTGTTTTTTAATTTATAGTTTTTTTGCGCCTAAAAAATCAAATTTGACTTTATTTTAGAGCAATCAAACTAAGTAACCAATTTGTGTACTTTCTAATGTCAACTTCATACTATTCTTAATTCATTTCCTTTTTTTAATAAGGTAGAAAAGGACCAAACCTTGATTCACTAGGCTCCGCAAATTTGCACATATGAAGAGACAGTTCGAACGGATGCTGTCTAAAACACATTATTTTTACAATGAGATAACGTTCTTTTTCAAATTAAGTTACCCCAATATTCCTTCTCAGTCCAAGGTATTTTTCCTCTTAGAACGATATGTGATGGTCGAATATCAGAGAGATTATTGCGTTTGACATGGCGACACATCGCATCCAGAAGCTCTGTAGGAGTCGAAGCATGAGAATGGACGTAGATGTGGTCACCTAACAATTTAATATTTGGCTAGGATAGCGGAAGAATACTGTATCAAAGACTTACCGGAAGAAATGCAAGACACTGCTTCATCGGCTGAGACTATTTTTGGATATTTGCCAGCAATGGGCAGACCCAAACGACTTGGAAAACGACGAAGCAACATGATGACCTAATCCCTAAAACTGCTGAGTTTTGGAAAATTAGGTATTACAATTAGTTCATACTGAGTTAGATCTGCGCTCAAATCACAAAACAGAACATTATGAATAGCACTACGATATCATGGGAGCATAAGACATTCACTTCAGTGCTAACGAAATTCTAAGAAAACTTTAATTTACAAAATTTAGCAAAAATTGATATTTGCTGTATGAAATAAGAATCTTTGCCAAATAGATAGCATGGCGGAAGATTGTAAATAACAACTGGTACTTTTTGGCTTTGGAGAAATCTTCCACTGATTAGACATAGAGTTTTGAATGTGTTCGCTTAACTATAATATGCTCAGAAAAAGCATTTTGAAAGCCAAATTTTTTGGAGTCTCAAAAATTTTTCCAAGGTCTTTTTCATGGTTAGAAGTCGTAGACTAACTAACAGACTTTGAAGGCGACAATTTATGTGCACACATTGATCTGGAACCTGTTTTCTTAGTTTATTGATTATTTTCTTATTTATTGCGGTTATCTCAACTTGATTCTAAGACTTGCTATAATAATTCTACAACACCTATTGAATTACTTGACTTCTATAGATCTAAATTACATTCCCGAATTTTAAGCGAGACGTGAAGTGCTTGAAGAAGTAAACGATACACAAGAGATTTCGTTAATTAGCCGTTTATCTCAAGAATTTATCTGAGAAATATTCCGCACATACCGAGAACGTGAATAACAAATCAGAAATGATCACAAGCTAGATAAAGGAAAAAAGGAAATACGCTCGGGATTACCTGTCCAGGGAATATATCAGAAGAAAAGCGAGTAACACACTGTATGTAGGTATATCCACTTTCGGGAGTCCATGATAAACAGAAAACAGTGGAAAAGTGAATTAAATAAGGTATTGACGAATAAGGAAGATACCCAATGATTATAAATGTAAAAATTTGTCTCTATTTGGTGTAGACTTTTTTCTGTACAGGAAAATGTCTTTCATAAGTTCATTTTCACAAAGCAGATAAGCCTTTGAAAAGTAAGTTGTAAGGCAAAGACTAGTACTCAGCATGTCCTTTGTGGTCAGCCCTACTCCGTTTCTTGACCTTGACATAGTCATCATATGTTTTGTGGAGTAGCCACTTTAATCACCTACCAAATTTTTCTCTAATAAGATTTTTTTGAGTTTTTGTTTTACTGTAACATCCTGTAACCTCTTCTCAATAAATATTCCTATCGTTAGCAATTATTCACGCGCCCAAAATTTTTTGCTAAGCAATAAAAACGTCAAAAAAGTATTGAAAGGTGATTGTAATTTTAGCTTCTTGGCTTTCAATATATTTGATATCCGGAATTCGTTTTAGATATTAGCAGTTGTGTAAATTATCAAGCATTCGATGAGAGTGAGATTGTTACAACAGCGAAAACATGTGATGATCGTTTCATCCTGCAATTAGCGAGATCGACGACTTTCACATATTTTCGATGTAAGCAACATATATATACATATCTTATATAAAAAGCCGAATGTTGTTTGTCTGTCTGTCTGTCTGTGTGTACGCATGTTCCGAGCAGAAAATTCCATTTCTGAACCGATTCGGACCAAACCTGGCACACATACACTTCGGGGCGGGCGGGTGTCATAGGCTACTTTTCGTCATCGATCGATATCGATTTTATCGATTTTTTGCAAAATTTGAGCTACTGGGCTGGGAGTTGGCACAGGGGGGTAACGAGCATGCTGATTACGAATAAAAATAATTACAGGGCCGGGCGGAGCCGGGTAAGCCAGCTAGTATATTATATAAGATCTGAGGCATTGTACATATAGTGCGAACGTTGAGAAAAACGCTACTATAGTAACTGTATGAAATTAGCTGAAATTACTTCGAACATAGGTCATGAATGCAAAGAAAGGATTGATTCAAATATGTTGCCGGAGGGAAGAGAAAAACATTCAAAAGTGAACAGAACTCTTCAATTATTGATGCACCAAATTTTTCTGACAAATCACATACTTTTCTGATTTGATTCGATTCGATTTGATATAGTATTCAAAAAAATCATACACTTTCTATATGTGCTCGAAAAAATTCAAACTGGCATTTTACGGAGCTACAAGCTGAAAACGAAGCCCTCAAATCGTGTTTTGCCAATTTTTGCACGATAAATAAATGCTAAAGGCCCAAAAAATTAGTTTTACTTCTAATCGTACTTCTACAACTCACTCTTTGTAACAGAAGAAATCGTGCTGGGATGCATCAAGCAACAGTCATGAGAATTTTGAGTTCAGTCTCAAATCCACTTACCTACTTCAAAAATCTCTGATTTGCGTAAGTAGTACATCTATTAGATACATCTGTTATGTGCTGTGGAAATTACATACAGTAAATTAGGACTTTTTTGGAACATCGAGACATATTTTCATGTTTTTTGCGCAAAATTTATGGACCAGTCTATTATATAACTTTCCGCTAAACAACAATGATAAAACTAACAAACCACCTTTTCATTTTTGAATTTTCGGGGCAAACGAAAAATATCACTCCGACACATTCGTAAAAGTTTTATTATATCATCTTAATTATACGAAAAATCAGCGTAATTGGTGTATCTAACTAACAAGGGAACGATACTCGGTGTCCGTGGCCTTTTGAGATGGGATGTATACCATTAGACTCGTCTTCGAACGCTGATTTTGAATCTGACTTCCGTTTCTGCTAATCGCTTCAAAGAAGTTATGATGAATCGGGCGGATTGGCTGCCTAGTGAAATATGGTCGGAGCGCCAAGGATAACGTTACGCTGTGATCTAGTGGTTAGTGCGGTGGCCTAATGAGTCGTTGCAGGTGTAGGTTCGAATCCTTTCGTGGTTTCCAGTTTTGCACTGCCTCATTTAACCTTCTTTCGCATCCTCGAGCTAAGTGAACCCCCTTACTCTTCAAAAAATGTGTAAATTTGGAATAAATAATTAGTTTCTGCGCTAAAATATATCCAATGATCATAATTCGAGTGAATTTTCTCGAACAAATGAAGCATTGCAAAGGTAAAAACACAAAAGGATTTGAACCTACACCTGCGTCTACTTATGAGGCTAACGCATTATTTACTTGACCAGAACGTGGCCGCAGTAGAGGCCGTTCCAATGACCATTTTCCTGGCGGCCATACTTGGCTCAAAATTTGCCATAACTTCTTTCAGAGAAACGATTAGCAAAAACGGAAGTCAGATTCGGAATCAGCGTTCGAAGATGAGTGTAACGATATGCATCTCGTCTCAAAAGGCCACGGACATTGAGTATCGTTCCCTTGTAAGGGCACTTACTTCGATGATCGTCTTCGTCTCATAGTTAAAAGTTACCCAAATGGTTCGTGATTATTCTGCCAAATGGTGCGTTTGCAATACTTTTTGAAAGCATTTGTGTCCCCTCAAAATCGCCTGGTTTTGTTATTCAAATTTTCCACATACTTTTCAGAAACCGGGATTTCTCAGAAAATCAACTCCGTGGATTTTTGTCACTTTCTCTCAGAAAATCAACTCCGTGGATTTTTGTCACTTTCTCACCTCCTGCAAAACCACTGCAATATCAAGGACTGGTTACACAGCTGACTCGATAATCTGGTAAAGAAGATATATTGGGAAATAAAGAGAAGAAGGAAAATCTGCCATTTTTTTTAGATTTGATTAACAAAGTAGAGACCTCACTTCTCTTATGATTAGTATCACTTTTCCTAGATTCGTAATTTGAAATGCAAACGCTAGAGTTTTTGAGTTCCACTTTCTGTTCTTAAAAGAAAAAATAATAACGTTTTTTCACATAGAATGTATGAGCTACTAGATTGGAAGTAAATAAATGAAGATTCTTCTTGCGATAGAAGGCAGACTGATGTATCTCACCATTGCATCATTGCTACTGCAATTGATACCATTTGATTTGATGGAATCCCAGGAGGATCGAAACAAACCCGAGCGCAATCTCATTAGAGAGGAGACGGTCATTAAGTTGAAAGATTAGGAGGAAAAGAAAAGCAGAAAAAGCTTTGTGGGTTTGAGGACCCTTGGTTACTTCCATGAACTCCTTTCAAATAATTGAGAATTCTCTACCTTTCTTCACTCATGGCTGATTGTGAAATTCTGCGAATTCAAGGAAATGTCCGGATAAATTTATTGGAAGAGATTACCATAGCGAGACTCAAAATGTTGATTTATTTAGAAAAGAAATTATTTCAACAACGAACCAAGAAGATGAGGGAAGAACAGTTGCTTGATAAGTCGCAAAATTTTTGAGTTACTTATATGAGTTATGAATTTGTGCAAGTTCACATGTTCAAGTGAAATAATTTAGAATTTTCTACATATTGAGTCGGTCCGAAAGTTTGTGCCTGTGACGGCTCGGTGGGCTCCAAGCACCTAGATTTACCCGAGATACCCGCACGCTTGCCCGCTTGAAACATACGACGCAACCTAGCCTACTACTTTACCTAGCGCGTAACAAAACAGAATATAAATTATACAAAGCACACGATAGAGCATGCAACAGCGCGAATTGTATCATTTGCGAGACAAACAGGCGTGGGGATTGTATGTGCTCAGGAACAATCTATCTAATCACTCGTAAAATCTGTGGGGAGGGATACATAGGAGAGACGGGAAGGCCGCTATGCGTCAGGATCAAGGAGCACATGGATGGGTTACGAAGATCACGATCGTCAACACCCCTGGGGACTCACCGTATGCTGTGCCACCAAAACGCAGAGTTTGATATCTCAGTTAGCATACTATCAAGGGAGACTGAGGTGTCAGCGCGAAAGACTCTTGAGGCATGCTGGATTTCATCCAGAAATCCAAAAAAGGAAC